CCAAGATGTGTGTACGTGAATAAATACGTTTACAAATAATCATCTATTCACTGCTTGCTCACTACCAAGTTTGTCATGTTATTTTTCATCTCTCTTTTTTTTTCCTCTATATCTTCCTCAGCAGTGAGTTTAAATATGGTGTATAGAGAATAACAATAAACTGGAGAGACAGTGTTGATGTGCGTGCATGCCGTACGGTCTAGTATAAGGATAAGATGAAGAGAAAAACTTCCTCAATTACTCACCTACTCACTCACGTCCTCATCATACAGTCCCATCCGCATTGACCTCGAGACACATACCTACATATCCATTTACCTGTGCATCTCATACTCTCCAAAATCAGAATATATATTGATATTTTTATTTTTTTCACGACCTTTTTTCTGCATATCGTCGCTTCATATGATCATATAACATAAAGAATAAATATAAGGATTAGAGTATTAAATTGCATTCAGGTAGTCGTTGTATGATCTATACGGGCACATATTATATTCTTAAACAAATGTATTGGACGAAAATACGATATATATTTTGTATATATACTTGCCCTGCATCATGTATTAAGTTAATAAAGAAAGTAAGATAGAGACTCAAAATTTTGGCTGACCAATATTATATTCTCTCAAGTCAAGAATTGATTAGAAATTGAAACTATTTAAAGTAATCGTAAATTATTCAGACATATAAAAACAAGTAGTCACCTATCATATCGAATTTTGTGTTTTGTATATTTCTCTGTCAGCTTTTCTCAGATTAAATAAATACTCACGACGGCAATGTATTTCATAGAGACAAAAATTAAGAAATTTCACTGTATTACTACAGTAACTGGATAATTTACGATATTATAATATCATTAGACTTGTTTGACATGACAATGTCAGTTCTAATGAAAACCATGCAACAAATGTTAAAACTTGAAAAACTTTAGCGAAATATCACAATTGGTACAACGTAGTTGTGTCTGTTTCATTCAATTTCAAAGTATTGAAAGGAAAAGTATCAATAAGGCCACTTTTTTGGCTTGAGAAATACTTGAAAAAAGATGACATATTCGGAACTAACATTGTGTCTTATTTTTTTATCTGTCATCTGTATCATCTTATATATGATCTTGATCGAATATAATTGTTCTTGACTATATTTAATAATTTTATCAATCAGTGTTTTTTTTCAATGAGTATCGTTTATTTTGAGTTTCTGTTTGTACTGTTATTGAAACATTCACTTCGTATATTATGTAAATGTGCTTTTTCATTCGTTAAATAACGACTATCAATAATCGATCATTAGTAATCACTTGCTTTTGGATTACTGAAAGTCTACTATTATTCATATTCATCCATTCAAAGTGCTACATATATGTTACCATTTATCTTTCAAGTTGATGGTTAAAATGTACTTGACAGAAAAAAACAAATCGAAGCATATGTTCACAATGTTTTCAATAAGAAAGAACATCTATATATAGATTGTTTTTCGGTAACTTTCATGTGTTCAAATTCTAATTGAAATCTAACTGAATCTGAAAATGTTCTAGAGTTTGCAAGTGTTCATATATCTCTAGAGAGATATCGTCTTAGTTGCATGAGTTAGCAATTGAAATAACTTCAACTACAAAGCAGAATCTGTTCTCATAACTATGTGATGAAAACATGAATTGAATCCACTACGGTTAATAGCAGCTCAACAAAAGTGAGCTAAAAATGTCAAGTTTGTAAATATTTAGTTTACACGAATTTTAACTTCTGATTGTTGAATAACTTTTTCTAACCATAATCAGTACGTTCAGCATGATTTGAGGTCCTTATTGCATTATAAGAAAGCATAAGTTCAAAATTTAGAGCTACAGTTTTGATGACGACGAGAAATTTGTCAGTAGGAGACTTTCACGTTCATATTTCTAGATTGTTAAGAGAGTAAAAATGAACAAAAACGAGCAAAATAGATTAACTTCAGCACCCTAAAAATCGATAAAAACTAGTGAAAACGGGCTGATTTTAAAATTGTTTTCAAGCGTCATGCACTCATACCCACCTGGTGAAGAATAAAGATTTGCTGCAATCTCTTCCGCCATGTTGATTTTCGCCATATGCTGCATTCGCTGTGATGTGCTTTCGCCATTGTGCGTTTCGCGGAATTCTTTTTTCAATGAAAAGCTTTCCGCTTTTCTGTTTTTCGCTGAATGAATACTATGTCAACAGTAAGAGAGTGACTCATGACAGTGGTTGATAAATTAAAAACGCTACAGTCATATTACTTCATAGCTTTTAAATCGATGATTTCTGCCTGTTTACTGAAGAATAAGTCTGTCGCAAAAAATGAAATTAAAAGAAAACTATTCATTGATTCTCAGAATCAATTAGAGAAATCACTTAGCCACGTTCTTTTTCTCTCTGATCATACATGAGAATGTGCCATATCTTTATCAACATGATAGGAAGTATGAAATTCACCCATATTTATGCGTCAACTTGGAAAGAAGAAACACTTACACGTGATGAGAAAATGTTACTTATAGTTTGAGATACAAAAGTGCATGAAGTGAAATGACAAGTCATTGCATACATAGGCTAACCTACAATAATAATCGAATATGCTTTACATATGCGTTCTTATCAGTTTCTTTATACTGCTTCATGTTAATTGTAAGTTCGAACAGTTTTTGTGATTGAAAGACGATATGCATAATCTTTTTTGTAGGTATGAGTATCGAGAAAGGACAAAGTTCATCATTTGTTACAATTGAATACGCAACACTAACGCAACAGACAAATGACACGTCAAAATCATCCTCAGTACTACCTCTTGACTCTGAGCTTATCGATCAATATGCATCGTCGAATGAATCAACACTTGCACAAGAGAACGAATCAGGGCTACCATATACAACCAAAGCGATTAATCGTTTACAATCCAAGCAACTCAATGAAGAATCTACCACTATAGTAGGTAAATTATCAGATAATATCACTGCTGATTCGTCAAGTATATGTTGGAAAGTTGTTATTGGCATTGTGGTAAGTGTCATTATCTTAATGGTTTTCTGTTCTGTCTGCTTGTATTGTTTGGGCAAATATTACGGATTATAAGCAAATCGAACTGACTAGTGTAAATTTACTGACAAATTTCTACTTTCAAGAGAATGAACGAAAGATTCAAACTTATAGGTCTTTGATATCTCATATTTTCTCGTGCATGCTGAATAATTGGATATTTTTTCTATTACTACATCAGCTTTCTCTTTCATTTTTTGTAAATAAAAAATGTGTTGCTTCGTATTTTTTTATTTTGTAAGATATATATGCTCGATTTTCTAACTAGTTATTGCTCAACTCAATAAGACTGTAATTTACAGTCGATCAATAATAAAAAAAATAATTGCAGCGATCCACAGTGTATATGTTAACATTTCTGTTATCTATGTTGAGCTATATTCCAATCCAAAAAACATGAAGGCTGTTTTAGCTTATGTATTTTCTGTAGTAGAATAACAGCTGCCCTCTTTTGAAATTTAATACTTAAACCATGTAAAAATATTATTTTGCTGATTCATAAAGATACTTTTGAAAACTGTTTTCCGCAGTTCACGTAGAAGTCATAGATGAATACATAACAGTATGAATAAGCAAAAATGGACCCTGGTTAGAAAAAAAAAACATGTATGTACGAGGTTTTCTTAATGCAAATGAACATTAGAATTTATTTTTAAATAAAACAAAATTATTTTAGAATTTTACTCCTAATTAAAAATAAAAATACTACCTGTGACATATTTATTAAACTTGATTTATATTCTACATTATTGAAAGAAAGATGTATATATTTTTATATTCTGCCGTAACTCATCATTCGCTTGTCTTTTTTTTTTCAATGGATGAAATAATAAATTCTATTGCTAACAACACATACATATATTGTAACAAAAAAAAAGACAAACAACGTTGTTTTATTGTGTAGGAGGCATGAAAAATTTAACACTTTGCTCGACAATCTGTAGATTCAAATAATTCTACTTGAAGTTTCTATTACATACTTTTGCATCATCAAAAGACTATATGTGAAATCTAATATTATAGTACACGTCATAGTATAGGCTCGTGAATCATCCATCCTGCTACTATTATGCTATGTGAAAGACAGAACGAAAGAAAGAAAAAAAAGAATAGTCTAGGGGGCACCCGGGATTGAACCAGGGACCTCTCGATCTGCAGTCGAATGCTCTACCACTGAGCTATACCCCCCATGCTATGATATTTTATCATTATTAGGTCATGTTCAAATTCAACAATACTTATTCATTCTAAATCATTGAGTTCCCAGTTTTGTATCATCGAATATATATATATATATGTAAATATTCTTATTTTGGATCAATGATAAAATTCTACGTCGTCAATATTATTCATATACCAGTAATAAATCGATGTACTATATCACAAGCGAACTGAATAAAAATTTATCTTATTGAAAGAAAACATTTTGATCTAATGATGACTCTAAAATTTAGAAACGTTTTTTTTTCTTTGCTTCTTGAAAGATAAATAAATACAAGATTTATTAAAATAAATATTGAGAAAAACAGCTACATATAATCAATATACATTAACGATAAATGAAAAACAAAATTTCATTTTTTATGATGCCGCCGAGAATGTAGACTTGATGCCGATTTTGTTCGTAAAGTACCTGATGTTATCATTGGACCCCAGCCTTTTTGTTGCGAGAATGCATAGCCAGATCTTAATCGAATAAAAAAAAAAAATCATATTAAAAATAATACAATAAAAATCAAAAAGAAAAACAACGTACCCAGTAGATCTAATTGATAATGATCTTTGTCTTTGTATTGGATCGGTTCGATTTTTAATAGTTTGTTTTTCATGAATACCAAATTTTTGAATTAATCGAGCTTTATCAATATCGTTTGGCATAAAACGTATACGAAAAAATCTAAATTAATCTTAAATTAATGTTATATATTCAAAAGAGACTTACTCTCGTCCAACAACAGGTAAAAGAAGTATGGCACATATAAGTAGAAGTGTAAACCAAAATGTTCCACTTTTTAATGCTACTTGAAAAATACCAACATATGGATAATTTATTTTAAAAGTTATACGTAATATTGTCGAATACATAATAAAATGTAAAAGAAAATGAAGTGCAATTGTACCTAATAAAATAAAAATATAAATGCCTGTCCAATACCACATTTCAAGAGCATTTTCTATATTAACAACAATAACTAATATAGTTGCTACCATAAAACCAAATGTTTGAAAATCGGTTAGTGTTACACCAGATGATTCAGTACTTGATAATATACATAAGTAGGAAAAAAAGAAAATTATACACGATGATATAAAACCATGTAGAGCACATTCAACGAATACTTTTCTATTAAATAATTTATCTTTTTGACCAACTATATACCTGAAATGAAATTATTATTTTTAATAAATATTATTCAAATGTTTTCATTTTTTTATTCTTTTAAAAATTTTGCAAGAAAATAAATTTGAATGAAATTAACTTACAAATGAGGTTTAGTAATCGAATGATTTGCGCTTATATCCTATCAATCAATTAAACATTTATTTTATTATTCGAAAATAAATATTATTTAACATACTTGTTCAAGACAACCTAATACTACAACAGGACAAGTTGTAAAAAAAATATTATAACAAGTAACAAAGAATGCATCAAATATTGTCTATTTAAAAAAAGAATATATATATATAATGAATTTCGTCTTAATAAATATCTTACTTGAGCTGAAAATCCACAATACAAAGCAAACCAAAATTGACAAAATGTAAAAGCAAAATTTTTATAGAAAAAATAACGTAAAAATTTTGATATACGTATATAAGACCATCGACCATGAACAAGTAATAATCGTTCAAGATATCGAAATTGACCAATACTATAATCACTTGCTAAAACAGCTTGTCGACCTTCTTGTCCACTAATTCCAATACCAACATGTGCTTCTATACAAAGAAGCAAAAAACTATTTTTATTTCTTTTTTCCTTATTAGTTTAAATAATATCTTACTTTGTATCATAGAAACATCATTAGCTCCATCTCCAATAGCTAATACAATCATTTTATCATGTTTCATAATTAATTCTACTACTTGTGATTTTTGTAAAGGTGTTACTCGACAACATATAACTGCTTTACACATTGTAGCAAGTTCAAGAAATTTCATTTTTAATTTATCTGATAATGCATGAATTAATGCATGTCCTGTTATTAATAAACTAAAACCTTGAAAATCATCTGAATTTATTTGTTTATTTGTATGTTGAGTAAATTTATGTTCATCAATACTTAAATTTTTCCAATTAAGTCTTTTATTTTGATCATCAATATGAATATTAAATGATTGTTGAATTTTTTCGATTAATTCAATTCGAAAACGATTTAATTCATTCATTACATCTTCTTCTGTTTCAACATCAATTCTTTTTATTATCATATTATCTGTTAAAAGTCGACAGGAAAAACCAATATTTTCTGCAGTTTCTAAACAAATAAATAAAGAAATAATTTTATAAAAAAACAAAAAAAAAAAAATTTTTTTTCTACCAATTTTATCACCAGTTAACATCCAAATTTTAATTTCAGCTTCTGTTAATCTTTCAATACATTGAGGTACACCATCTTGAAGTTTATCTTCTATTGCAGTCATACCAAGTAATTTCATATTCTTTTCTATTTCTTCATATAATTCATCAATCTGTTCTTCACGTCTTTGCATACTCGTACTAAATTATGTTTATGAAAATATAATATTAATCGCATAATCAATTATACTTACGTAGCTCTTTTTAATTTTTTTGCCCATTTTTCATAATCATTTGCATTCAATTCTTTCCATGCTAAACATAATGTACGTAAACCTTCACTAGCAACTTTCTAAAGAATAGAAACCGTATTTAGATAGTCAAATGAATTGCATTCATACATGTAAATGATCATGTGTTAATGTCATAATATTTTTTTCTGATGGATCTAATCTTTCTTGTATCACTGAATCGGCACCTTTACAATATAAAATAATTTGTCCATGTTTTCTCACTATAACCTATAAGTTAAACAAAACTATCAAGCAGAAAGTGAAAAGAAATACTTACGGACATACGCTTTCGATAATTATTAAAATCGAGAATATTTAATAGATCAAAGGTCTCGATTTTATTTCGAAAACGTACTGTGATACTACTTTGAGTACGATTCTAAATAGATAATAGAGTTTTTTTTTTTTTTTTGAGAATTATTTAGTTAATAGACGTACAACAAAAGCAAAACCAAATGAACGTGCAGCTGTTACTAACGCATTTTCATCAGGTGATTGAGCTTGATAAATAATTTTATCATCCTGTTCTTCAGTCACAACTGTATGACATAATGCCAAATGTGTAAAAAAATGATTAACATCATTATCTTCGTTTTTATCAATAGTATCGATTAATGTTTTATCATACCAAACAAAATTATTATCTTGTTCTATAAATTTAATTGCTTGTAATTCATTAGCAATTCGGTTATTGTCGTCATTCTCATTCGGTATATCTCCATATAATTTACCTCGAATAGAACATTTCTTGAATGTCATTATATTCTAAAAACGAAATGAAACTAATAATATTTTATCAATGATTTCTCTTTTAGAATGGATAATCAAAGACTACGAAAGTATGAAAATCGTTTTTTCTACAAGACAAATAAATAACATATGACACGACGAATAGAACATTCTAAAAGTCAAATCTAATTTTCTGAAAAAACAGTCTTCAATAGATATGAAATCTATATTGATATTAGTATGATTTCTACTCTATTGATTTTGAGAAAAGTTATAAAATAATAAGCATAAATATAGGAACAAATTCAAATTAGTATCTATTTCATTTTTAACTAAAGATATTATTACATGAATATATTAATTAATATACCTGAGTTAATGTTCCTGTTTTATCCGAAAAAATATATTCAATTTGACCTAATTCTTCATTAAGTGATGCTGTACGTGCTTGAGCTTGTGTATTATCTGGTTCATAATACATACTATTATCCCAATCGATCCATTTCGATTGAAAAAGACGAATAAATTCTATACTAATATAAAGTGATATTGGTACAACAGTATTTAATAAAATAACATAGGAAAAAAAGACAAGTAAACCCATTTGAATAGCACCAGTACGTGAATTAGATGAAATATAAGATTCCCAAGATAAATACATGCGAAATTTAGAACCAACATTATATTCCCAAAATCCACAACCAATCGCCATTATAGAACACATGAGAAATAGAAAAACAAAAATCTACTGAAAATTAAATAATTAATATTTCTAGTGAATGTACTGAGTTCACGCTACCCGTATACTGGATAAGTTATCAACCAAGTATACTTAGCAGATATCTGCCAATTTTCTATAGAATTCTATGAAAAATTTGTCAACAAGCTAGTAGATTGAAAAATTTAGAAACATTTTGTATTCAAATACTGAAAGTGCTCAAGTACGCATTGGTTTCTATGACATACTGGTAACAGAGTACTCTTATGGATATGTTGAAATCAGTAAATTCACTATGACAATATAAAATAATTTACTCCTAAGATTATTTTATTTAGCCAATTATCAATTTTCGTTCGTTTGAATTTTGGTGTATTACTGTTTTGCATTAATTTTGTATCTGGACCAGCATAACATACAACTATAATAGAAAAAAAAAAGAATCCTATATTGAAAATTCTTTTCGAATACATAAAAATTTACATATTAAAAAACAATGTTTGATGTAAGAATAATTGACTTACTTCCAAAAGCCCATTCTGTATTTCTTAATCGTGTTCCACGCAATAAAAAATTATCATTTTTTAATGAATATATTTGTCTATTCCATTTTAAAGTACCTTCAAATCGAAGAAAGTTATTATTTGGTGGTTCACATTCAATTTCAGCTAAAAAAATATAAATCAACAATAACTAATATTAATCGAATCTTTCTGTTTTTTTTTTTTAATTTTTACCATCAAATTTTGATAATTTTTCTAAATCATCTTGAATATTAACTGTTACTTCAAGTGCTTCTCGAGGTTTTAAATTTGTTTCACTAAAAAAAAACTGATCTACAAATTTACTTAATTTTAATTAATCATATCTATTACCCATCTAAATCAGCTGTTTCAATTAAACATAATCCATTAGGTTCACTTGTTGAAATTAATATCATATCAGCCTTTAAAATATTAAATATATTAAATTAAATAGTTCAAAAAATATTTTTACAGGTGTAAAATCATTATTATTAATTCGTATTATATCACCAACTTTAATTTCTCTCCAATATTTTCTAAGAAGTTCTTTATTAATTAAAATATTACAATGTCGATTATTAACTTGTCTATCACTTCGATATCTTGCCTATAAAGAAATCAATAATATAGATTAAAATAAAAAAAAAAAAAAAAACGAACAAAATCATCAACACCATCTTTGATTGCTGTAATTGCAAGTACAAATATTAATGATAATAAAGTAGTGATTGGTTGAAGTGAACTAATTTGTGGTATAAATAATAAAATAAGTAAAAATAAAAAGAAAGCATTGGCAAGTCGAGTAAATTGTTCAAAAAGATTTTTTGGTAAAAATGTTATTATATTATATTTTGTTGTTGAAATTCGATTTTTCTTTGAAATAAATATGTAAAATATAAATATCAATTAATAATTTTGTTAGATTTTTTCTTACTGAAAATTTTTTCGATTCATTATATATTGGATCATTGGCTTTTATTATTCGATTAGCTGCTAAAAACATAGCAATGAAGATTTTTTTGATAATTACTGTTATTGTATCATTATGAGAAAAAAAAACAAATTACTTGCAACTTTATTTTTGTTACAACAAAATATTCTTTGCATGTTTATGTACAAATACCAATCTAAAACAATTAATATGTGATATTATTCATAGTTAATTGTCAAAAACTAAGTATTAGTTTCATTCTATTTAAATTTTCTAATATTTAAAAATAATTTGAATTATAATATTGTTTCCTCAATCAAATATATTTTAAATATTTCTCGTAAAAATTAAACATTCAAGAAAAAAAGTAAATTTACTAGAATAATCTTCTAATATTAAAATCTAAAACA